GCTCAGGTCATGATCTCATGGTTTGTGGGTTCAAGCCCCACATTGAGCTCTGTGCTGACAGCTCAAAGCCCAGAGCCTGCTTCAGATTCTATGTCTCCTCTCTCTCTCTCTGCCCCTCCCCTGCTTGTGTTCTCTCTCAAAAATAAACATTAAAAAAATTAAAATAAATAAATAGAATGAAAAATACAATAACTGAAATTAATAGTATAATAGTGGATTAGATAGAAGAGAGATTTGTGAGTGAAATAGAATATAAATCTTAAAAAACTACCAAGAATGAAGCACAAAGTTCTAAAAAAAATGCAAAACAAAAAAGAGCGGTTAAGAGAGGTGCAGAATAAAGACAAATGTCAAATATGAATTCTGCAAGTATAAATTATAAGGAGGAAGAGCAATATTAAATAATACGATAGCTGAGAAATTTCCAGACTTGTACAAAGACCTCAGATTTAGGAATGAGTTCTGAAAAAGATAAATTCACACCCAGGCACATTGCAGTGAAACTTCATAATATCATAGACAAAGGGATGATCTTAAAAGTGGCCAAAGAGAAAAGACAAATCATGTACAAAGGAATAATAATTAGAATGACAGCAGACTTTTCAACGGAAACAATGATGGTTGAAAACAATGGAATGAAATCTTACACGTCAAAGACTATAAGTTATAATTCTCTACTCAGCTCAACTATCATTCAGGTGTGGAAGAAATATAACTGAAGGCTTTTAGTTCTAAGATTTCCTTGCTGAAAGAACTTTAAAACTTGTAATTCAGAAAGAAGAACGCTGAACCCAGAAGGAAGGAAAAAGGCAAAATAAAAAATAGTGAACAAAGATACCAGTGAGCACACTGGTAAATCTAAATAGCACAGATTAAACAAGACGAAAAATGAATTGGGGGGTGCTTAAAAATAAGACTGAACTAAAGAGAACAATTATACAGAAGACAAGGGCAATGATGGGATTGAATTAATATATTAAGGTCCTTCCATTGTGTGAAAGGAGGGTGGAAATGCTAATTGATGTGAGACTGTATCAGATCAGGTGGTGTGTGTGTAAAAATTTAGAGTAACCCCTAAAAGTATAGAAAAAGAAGACTAAATTAGATAAATTTCAAATTAATAGAAAGAGGTGAATCAAGGTGAATTCGTCAAAGGTGAATAAAGAAAAAGTGATCAATCCAATAGAAGAATGGAAAGAAAGGCATAGAAAAAAATCAGAATAAATAGCAGAAAATAAGATGGTAGAAATGAATCAAAATATATTACTAATCACAATAAATGCAAATGGACTACTTGCCAGGTAAGATAGAGGTTGTCATTATGGATTCAACAACAAACTCTAGCTACATGCTCTTATAAGACACCACCTGAAACATAAATATACAGAAAGCTTGAGGGTAAAAGGATGGGAAAATATATATCAAACAAATACTATCCAGAATAAAGTTAGTTTTGCTATATCATTATCAAATGAAATGAATTATAGATTAAAAGTACTATTACGGCAAAGAGTATTACCTCATAATAATAAAATGGACTGTCCCAGGAAAACACAATTCTATACTGTATACACAGTATCAAAATATATAAAGCAAAAAGTATCAGAAATACAGGGAGAAACTGACAAATGCACAACATAAATAGATTTTAATACATCATTCTTAGTAACTGATACATCGAGAAGCAAAAAATGGTAAGACGGAGAGGACACAAATAACACAATCAGTAAGCTTGATTTAACAGATCAAACTAGATCCTACAACCAACATTAGAACGTACACGCTCTTTCGAAACAAACACAGAACAGTTTCAAACATTTATTGCATCCTTGACTACAAAGCAAGTCTCAGAAAATCTTAAACAAAAAGAACATCACATACTGTATTCTCTTAGTACAAGGTAAAACTCAATAAGGAAAAGAAAACTTTGAAAAGGACCCATACATTTGGAAACTAAAAAGTACTATTCAATAACCTCATGGATAGAAAAAGAAAATAATGAAAACCAGAAAATATTTTTAAATTGCAGCCATTTTCACGTGGAGGAGTGGACAGTACCATTTATCTTTAGGAGGAAGCTGGCCAATTTGTTTGGGAGAACTACAGCTGGCTAGTTCACCAAAAGCCAATTCACACAATGGCCAGGTAGCCAAAGGCCAAATATGATGAAACTAGGCCACTGAATATCAATTTGCTGAAAACCAAACTGAATGATTGAGAATCTTTAAAAAATGTGTTCCAGCTACACTCCTGCCTCTGTCTCTGTGCCGAACTGCCAACACACACTTCCAATGGAATTCAGGAGAGTTCTCCACAATCACTTTGCAATGCAGATACAGAGGCAGGGCTGGATGTAGGAACAAGGTCAGAGGTACAACTAAAAGAGATAGGAAGGAGGTTCCTCAAGCACTGGGAGAGCTGGCCACTCAGCAGATTGAGCTTCGGCAAACTGGTCACTGAGCAGACTGGAGGCTGGCAAATCTTAGCGACTGCTGACCCAGAGTCTACAAAGGGGGTCTCAGCCTGGTCGGGTAGGGGGCGGTTGAGTCAAAGAGATGCCAAGACTCTGTACATGCTATAATAAAGGTGTGTCTTGGGTGGAGAAATTACTTTTTTCTAAGTTGAGGGATTTTAGAGACTGAGGGTGGGGCGAGGGGAGGCACTGGGAGAAGGGACACCCTGGCTACTGGGAGGAAACCTACCTCAGCACGAATACCGGGCACACAGCACAGGCAAGGGGCTTACCACAAGGGGCTACGACCTTTAGGGATCCCGAGATCAGATGCTGAACTTGAAGCTTTCCTTTTCCATGCGGTGAAACCGTTGTGATATCTTCAAATACTCCCACAGCGGATTACACACTCACACACTCACCGGTCTGTGTTGCCAATTCTTTAGGCACGAAGGCCGGGCTTGGCCCTGGGTATGAAGCTGGGCAGTGTCTGAGAGTGGTCTCCCCTGGAGGCCTTTCCTTGAGAGGCCAGGCCAAGGATGTCAACACTGTACCCCAGAGTACCTGGAGGTGACCAGCAGCAAGGTCAGCGGAGACCTATGGCAGGCCAGAGCTGCTTCAGGGACCAGCACTGGGACTGCTGGGCCAGAAATTCTCTGTCCCCAAATATTCCAGAGGAAGAGCCTGTGGGGGATGGGAGCGGGGGAAGCCGGTTCCCCGGGGCTGTGGGCCTCTCCGCTTGGCTGGACCCCTGCCTCTGTCTCCCAGAGCCGGTTTAGTTCCACATGCCCACCTTCTCTGAGCTGTTTTAACAGGGGGTGGTCCCCCAGGGCCGGAATGAGGCTCCTTGTGCTCAGCAGGGATCCTCCCCCTGCCCCCGGCCCACCATGTCCTGACCAGAATGGTGGGGCCCATGCTTCATTCACTCATCACACATTTATTTGAGGACCTCCTACGTTCCAGAAACTTCTGGGGTCACCTAAGTCAACCAAATAGGCCAGCAATTGGTCACACTGGCCCGGCTCAATGCTACCGCGAGCGAGGGAGCGGGGTGGCAGATCTGAGGATGCGCGGGGGTCCGGCTGCCTCTCCGACTCATCCCCGACCGCGCGGCCCGCGCCGTCCGGCCTGCAGCTCCCTCTTCACCCCTGCGTCCGCTTCCCCACCCCCTCCCCGTGGCCTCGGAAACGGTCGGTTTACGGGATGTGACCTCTGGGAGAGGCGGGTCCCTTTTCAACAGAGCATCCCCACCTGGCACGGAAGATGCGCTCAGTAAATGTTGGATGCAAGAGTGGATGACGGATGGATGATGGATGAATGCGTTCCCGCGTGCGGACACACCCGGAGGCTGGCCACCAGGCGGATCCCGGCGCGGAGTCCCTCCCTGCAGCCTCCCGGGGTAGTGAGCCGAGCAGGTGGGGAGGGGACTTCAAGGAGGCCGCCCCCGACTCTGTTGCGCTGCGGATGCCGCGGCGCCCTCTGGGAAGGGTAGTTCGCGCCTGCGCCCAGCGGGCCGCAGAAGCCGGGGGTCTCCGGGCGGAAGTGGGACCACGTCTCTGGGAGTTGGGGGGCGTCGGGCGGCCGGGGCGTCCCCAGCGTCGCCTCTCGCCCACTGCCCGAGACCCCCAGCCCCGCCTCCATCCGCGTTGACCTCGGTCGCCGCTGTCGCCGAGGGTGGCGGCACGGTCGGCGGGCGGGGAGCGGGCGCCGCGGGCTGCGCCGGAAGCTGAGAGCGGAGGTCGAGTCCCGGAATGGCGCGCCAGGTAGGGCGAACCCAGGAGGACAGAAGGACCGACGGACAACTCGGCCAGTCAGCTCCGCGCGGCGTGGTGCGGTCCGGTGGTAGGGCGGGGCGAAGACCCCGGGACCCGCCAACTTTGGGGTCTGGCTGTGTTCGGCCAGGCGGGCCTGCGGGGCAGGATTGCCTGGCGAGAAGTCTAGCCCCTCGGACGACCCCAACCCCTCCCCAGTCCTCGGCCCCCAGTACCCTGTACGTGGAGCCTGTCTCCACCTTTGGAAACTCGTTCCTTTGGGTTACGCATCGCCCTCCCTCGGCGTGGCCTCTTTTGATTGCTAGTTATCCTGGCAGCTGTGGGCACGAAGGCCTCGGGAATGAGTAAATCTGATGCGTTTAGTCTTGGTAGGATCCTGGACCCTTGGGGGAGGGGGCGTGAAACAAGGCCCCAGGTTTTATCCACCAGCTAAGGTGTGTAGATTCGAGAGCTGGAGGAAGAGCCCCATCTGTCACAGCCTGGGCAGTTGGGGCGAGTTGCGTGCGGGGCTGGGAAGGTGCCGGGAATACGTGATGATACCTAATGGGGAATTGTCACACGTTCCCCTGGGTGAGCGACCGGAGCCAGTTCTGTAATTCTGGTGGCCCGTGAGGTTGGTCCAACGTCAACCAATTGTAGACTCCATGGTTTGGAGGTGGGTGGGGATTGAGATGGTGGCTGGGGCCATCTGTGGCCAGGCATAGCCCACACTGTACCAGAACCTCCAGTCATTAATGGCCTACAAGCTCCTGGGAGAAGGCAGGAAAAGTGGAAGTTGCGGGAGCAGAGGCAGCCTTGCCTGAAGCTCTGGCTGTGCAGTTAAGCAGCCCAAGGGCACCCTTGCTCAGATTATGTCCCCTGGGCCTGCGCTAGGCCCTCCTCATGCTGCAGTTTCCTTTTCTACAAAATGAGAGGTTTAGACCACCAGTTTTTCAGATCTGATGTTCCAGGAAGGATGTGTCCTCACACCCTGTAGCTTCATAGAGGAGGTGGCTAGAGTGGCTTTGGGGAGCAGGAGATTACCGTCAGATGGATAGTTATGGGAAAGGCCTCCTGTCTTCCTGTCCAGTGTGTCTCCCAAATACCTAGGGATGTGTGAGCACAGCCCATAAATGGGGAGCAGCAGGGTGCAGAGTCCGATCTGGGAACCCAAGCCTGAGGCACTCTGGGAGAAGGGGTCTAGGCCAGGAAGGACTGTGGAAAGGTGGACTGGCCCTATGGGCACAGAAGCTGTGGTTTTCATGCTGGGCTAGTGGCAGGGCAGAAGGAATGTTTTAGGAGGCCCAGCATAGCGGCAGTGAGCCAGGAGACCGCACAGTTACAACAATCCTGGGTCAATCCAGAAAGCTTTTCTCCTGTCGGCTGAGGGAGGGAGGCCTGAGCGTCACAGAGGAGGTGAGGTAGGGCTCGCAGGGGACAGCGGGTACAGACTGCAAGCCAACAGTGTGTTTCCGTCTCCTGAGGCAAGCATTTGTGCCTTACGTGTTTGCATCCCTTACACACACGCTCCTCACTGTGCCTCCGCTTTTTCTGGGCAGAGGGAGGCCATTGATTGAACCACCTACTCTGGCCACAGTCAGTTCCCATTTCCATTTTATAAGAACTTTGTCCTGAAGAATTTGTCTTGAGGCTGAGATGATAAAAGACCTGGAAACCATCCCTTCCAGATGTCTAAAAGAGCTGGGTGTATTTAGCCAGGAGATAAAGAGGCACTCGAGGTCAGGAGTAGTGTGTGTGTGGACGAGTTCATTCTGTGTAACTGGACGTCAGGCCGACAGATTTGGCTGCTGCAGTACTAATCATAACACTTAACTGTGTCCCAGCATTTGGTCCAGGCACTGCCTGTATTAATTCATTTAGTCTTCACAACATCCCTAGGCTGTAGGCCGATTTTATAAATGAGTTCACCGAGGCCCAAGTGGGTTAAGTAGCTTGGCAAGATGCCATAGCTAATATGAAGCAAAGCAGGGAGTGGAATTCTGGCAGCCTGGCTCCTGGGGTCCAGCCCCAACTCCTGTGCTGTACCTCGTCTGTGCGTCCAGAACTTCCAAACTGCCCGATTGGGCCAGCGATAGGACCAGCTGCTGGAAATGTGGTGAGCCACCCATTACTGAAGGCATTCAAGTGGAAATTGAAGAGCCATCCTGTTTGGGGTGGAAATCGGCATTTCATGATCCCTGCTCCTAAAAGGTCTACAGCAGTTACCTGTGATTTTTAGCTCACAAATGCACTCCACTTGAGAGCTGGCTCCTAGGAAGAAGGGGGGCCGAGCCTGTTTGCAGAGGTCTGTTCTCTCGTATACTTTTCATCTCCAGCGAGGCTGGGCAGGACTCCAGCCTGTGACTGGACTGTAGTGCTCCCCTGCCCTCTGATTCTAAGCTGAGAATGTGTCAGGATAACGGAATGTGTGAAAATGTAGATTTCTGGGCTGACTCCTGATTCAGTAAATCAAGAATGAGGCAGGGAAATCAGCCCTAATTATAAGCAAACTGAAGTAAATTATTTGAACCCAAAAGCCCTTTTGTTTTTTCAGTCATCATGTTATAAAAAGCTTCTGATGGGAGAAGTTGAGGATACAGAGTCTTTTTCACTCAGTTAGTTAAACAGAGAACTTGTCTGCCTACCTCTTGGGATAAACTAACTCCCCAGGAGAACTGTCCTTCGGCTGTCCTGAGTCCTTACTCCCACATTCCCCGCTCCAGTCAGAGCAATGCCATTTGGACTCTTCTGCCATTTAGCAGTGGCCACAGGAGCCTTTATTTGTACTGAGGATCCGTCACAGCAAACTTTATTGGGTAATAATAACTTTTTAAAAATTAGAGCCATTTGATGCTTGTTTTCTTAAGGTTTACTAATATTATTGGTTATAGTGACAACTAAGCCCAGCAGAAAGGGTACCCGAGTGTCAGCTCAGAGGTCCCAGTCCTACAGTTGGGCATGAAAGCCTGCAGGCGTGAAGCCTGATGGTGTTCAGCGCACCCAAACTACTCACGTCTGCCCCGTGGCTCGGCCGCCTCCTCCAGGTGGCTTATCTCTCCCATCGGGCTTGGTTTGACCAGCTTCCAAGTTCTGGGGATGTCTTATTTTGCTCTAGTATATTGGCCAGAGTGAGAGTTTAATAAAAATTTGTATGGCTAGCATAAAAGCAAAATAACTGTGACCTGATGGCCCTTCCCTGCCCCCTCCCCATCTTTCCTCAGCTGTAGCAGTGAGCGAATGGGGCAATTAACAGGGGGTTCTGACCTTGTTGGGTCTGGAATCCTCTTTTTTAATGTTGGAAACTCCCCTGAACCCTACGTAGTTGTATCCTTAGCATATTAGATGGTAGTCTTTGCAAGTATTTTAAAAGAAGTTTTTTCAGTGTTACTTTTAAATTTTTAAAAATGTTTTTATTGTTTATTTATTTTGAGAGAGAGAGAGAGAGCATGAGCAGGGGAGGGGCGGAGAGAGAGAATCCCAAGCAGGCTCCACGCTGTCAGTGCAGAGCCTGATGTGGGGCTTGATCTCACGAACCGTAAGATCACGACCTGAGCCAAAATCAGGAGTCGGACATGCAACCAACTGAGCCATCCAGGCGCCCCTTTTCAGTATTACTTTTAAAGGACACACGTCCCCTTTTCAGTGTTACTTTTAAAGGACACGCACATAATCACAACAGAATCTGTATACGTTTAAACGTAGTCATCAAAGTGTGTAAGCAAAAACGTGTGTTCAGTCAATAAGACCGTGTTTGTGACCATTCTGACACCAGGCGTGTTAGGGCAAGTCTGAGGCTCTGGGTCTACTCTGTGTCTACTGTGCAGATGAGAACTTTCTGACCGAGGTGTCTCCCTGCGCCGTCAGCCCTGGGGTTCCCCTTGCCTAGGGGGGAGAGAAGGAAGAGGATGTAGCCGGGAGGAGCAGAGGGACGAGAGAGTGTAGCAAGGCAGTGGGCTGTGGGCTCTGGGAAGGAAGGGAGCGGCCTGAGCTCCCTGGCTGGGGACTCAGTGGGTAGAGCATGCAACTTTTAATCTCAGAGCCGTGAGTTCAAGCCCCATGTTGGGCATGGAGCCTACTTTAAAAAAAAAAAAAGAAGAAGAAGAAGAAAAGAAAAGAAATATTGTCTACCAGGAAGGCGCACTAGAGACTCCGTGCCCAGGGTTTTCACTGGGGGCTGGTCACATAGTCACTTCCACCTGACATGGACCAAAATCCCAGAGTTCTGGAATGAAAGTAAACGATCAGCATGAACCACACTGTGCAAACAGTCTGGGCCCAGTGAACCACCCTCCTGAAATCCAAGTTCCCTAATACTGGCCAGGCCCAGCCTGTAAGCAGGGTGGCCTCAGGCCTGCTCTGCTAGTTGTTATGCACAGACCCTACCATTGACTACATTGTATATGTCCAAAAGCCAGGAAGAAATGGGGGTGGCTCTCTGAAAGATGTTTTTGAGGATGTCTGAGCGTGTTCCTGGAAGGGAGTGAGCATACGTGGGCCGGAGAGGTGGAGATTAGTTCCAGAGAGACTCCTGGCTGGCCTAGTGGGCTGTAGAGGGAGGATGGGAACCTCTGGGACCAAAGACAGGTAGGTGGTCAGTGGGGAGGCTGCCTCAAGCCTCGTGTGTGTGTGGATGGGGTCCCGACCACTTCAGCAGAGGAGCGGAGGGCAGTGGTTGTGACCATGTGGTGCCCACTGTCAAAGGGTGACGGGTAGAGTGGGAAGCAGATGCCATGGGTGACAATGCTGAGAGTTGGTAGCAGTGATGGTTTTAAAGTCGCTGACTTGAGATGATGAAACAAGGCAGTAGATTATTTGCTTGATTAGGAAGTGTTTTCATTTTATTCACTAATTTTTTTCTTACAAATAGTTGAGCATCTAGCTCTACACCAGAAGGACCCTTCCCACAATTTACGTTCTGTTTGCTTAATTTGCACAAAGTGAATTTTTGCTGTAATTTAAAATTCATACCTATCAGATGCTGGTCATCTGGGGTCTCACAGCCATCTTAAGGCCCACTTAATGATTATTTTTAAAGAAGTCAGGACAAAATGTTTCTTTTATCTTACAAAGCAGGGGATGCTCTCCAAGGGTGGTCCCAGGTTTCTTCGGAGCCCTTCTCTGCACAACGGATAACGGTGTACCAGGCTCCAAGCCTAGAGGGCCAAAGAGTGAAAGGTCAGGGAGGGGGACAGAGTGGGGGAGTGTGGAGGTGGGAGCAGGGAGCCCTGGACGGGGGCCGGGAAGGGCTTGGGTGGCATCATCTCCTGCTAGAGTGTAGTGCCCACGAGCTGCATGGGCTTGGTGGTGAATGCTATGGGTCATGGCCATGGCAATCACCGTGGCTGGCTGGGCCCTGAAGGTCAGGTGAGACCAGGAAAGTGAGGGCAGGCTCAGCCCAGCACAGGCCTGGATTCTGGTAAAACAGCTGGAAACCAGAGTTCTACCTGGCCGGGCCAGAGGATCTGCAGAAGAACTGTGGCCGTAAGATTTGGGGTCTGAAGTTCAGGGGCTACGAATACAGCACAGGTGCGTCGGCCGCTGGTTTTCTTCATTCACAGGCACCCAGCCATCTCTCTGTGGGAGGGTCTGCCTCCTCTAGACTTGCGAGCTGTTTGAGGTTTTCTCTTTCCCCCTCTTCCTTGGGGTGGGACAGGGAGGAGCAATGTAAACATTTTGCTTGCTTGATTCTTGACTTTTGGATCCTCCCCACTAAAAAGCGTGGAGTGTCTCGTTCGTTGTCGTCCTTACTATCTGTTTTATGTGTCAACTTTTTTATATGCCGTAGCGATAGGATCCCAGGTCCTTGCACACTCAAGGTGAAGCTTGCTTATTGCCTCCGGGGGTTCTCTAACATGGTGAATTCAGGGCTGGCTGGACTTCCCAGCCTGGAGTTGACCTTTTCTGAGGCCCAGGCTGAGGGCCACGGATTGTACCAGCTCCCCTGGGAACCTGTAACAAAGGATTACAAACCAGCTTACCCAGCAAGTGAATTCTCTCACTGTGCTGGAGGCGACGGGACTCAAACCAGGGTGTGGGCAAGGCTGTGCCCCCCTCTGAAGGCTCTAGGGGAGGATCCGCCTCCTCTCTCCTGGCTTCCGGTGGTTCCAGGCCTTCCTTGGCTTGGGGCTGCGTCACTTCAGTCTCTGCCTCCATTGTCACCTGGCCTTCTCTCTGTGTGACCGTGTCTCCTTTTTATGAGGACGTCGGTCATACTGGGTTAAGGGCCCACCCTACCTTAGTATGACCTCACCTTAGCCACATCGGCAGGGACCCTGTTTCCAAATAGGGCCGCATTCACAGGGGCCCGGGGTCAGGGCTGCAGCCCCCCTCTTTGTGCACACAGTCCAAACCCCATCACTGTCTCTTGAGCAGATTCCCGTCACCCCTTCACCTGCCCCCACGTGCCAGCCCCCCGCCACACCCTTCTTGCTCCCCACTTCCTGGTGTACCCCTGGTGTCGCCAGGCGGGAACCACCAGCTCCCCTGAGGTTGTGCCCACAGGTGTCCGTGGCCTTCCAGGACCTGGCGGTGCGCTTCTCAGAGGACGAGTGGCAGCTGCTGGGGGAGGGGCAGAGGGCGCTGTACCAGGACGTGATGCGGGAGAACTACGAGACGCTGCTATCCCTGGGTAAGGAGCCCACTTGCCCAGCGGGCCAGCACCATGTCCTGAGTCGCCCTGGGCCCGGTGGGCCTTAGTCTTACCTACTAAATGGACACAGTTGGAAGTGGTGTTCCGGGAGCCTCGGGCCTCGCTGGGGGCCTCGCTGATCTTCTTTGCCATTGTTTCTGGGTGAGATTTGGCGGGTGCTCCGGAGTGGAGCAGGCTGGAACCCGACGGCCCTGCGGTTCTTGGGGTTGGGTGGTCACACCGAACACTCACATAAGCAGCTGTGTGATTGCGTGTAGTTGGGTGGAGGCCAGCTTCCATTCCCAGGGGGCTGTCCCTCCCTCTTTTCTTTCCCAGGGACAGCTGAGCTGCTCCCCCTCTCTGCCTTCCTGTCTCCTACGGAGCCTGCTGGAACCATGGAAGGCAGGAGCTACGCTGGTGAGGGGCAGGAGCCTCCCCAGGGAGGAGGCCCCCTGGGTGAGTAATCCTGGCAGATGAGGGTCAGGCCTCGTTGGGTGTTCTGGCCCCCTGGGCCCAGGGGGACTCACTCTTGTCCCTTCCACTGGGTGGTCCTCAGCCCCTGGCTCTACTCCTCAGGGACCACTATGACCTCAGCCCTTGCCACACTCTACGCCCAAAGCCCTCTGCGACTTTTTACCCTTTGCCCCCCTGGGCTGGGAACCTGGCACACAGTTGCCCGTTGTACGCAAGGCTAGGAAGAAACCTAGGGTCACCCTCGGAGACCTACTCAAGCCCCCTTCCCACCACCAACCACGCAGAGCCAGCCTGCAGCTCCCGAGGGTGCTGCCACAGGGCTGACATCTGCAGACCTCACGTGGTTGACACGGCCCACGGGCCCAGCCTGGGTGAGGCTGGGAGGTTACAGGTGCCAGGAAGGGCAGAGGGCCTGGCTGCCGGGAGGGGCGGGGGAGGCAGCCCTCCTTGGCGCTCCCCTCCGAGAAGTACCAGGTGCTGAGCGACGGTACCTCGAGTCCCCGGCCCCGAGTCCTGGCTGTGCCCGGGCAGATCCTTTTACTTCTGGGACAGAAGTCACTCCACGTGCTACTCACGTGGTAGGAGGGTGACGTGAGACGTGGTTTGATGTCGTGCACAGAAGCGTGAGTGCGGAGCTGACAGAGGGCGTGGGGGTTCACTGCGGCCTTTCTGGCAGGAGGAGCGCCCCCGCACAGCCTGCACCTCACGGCCCTGGTGCAGCTGGTGAAGGAGATTCCAGAGTTCCTGTTTGGGGAGGTCAACCCCGAGAGCGAGAGCGGGGGAGCCGGCCTGGACGGGGAGCGGGCCAGCCCCGAGGGTAAGTCGGACAGCGGCCACTGCATTCCACAAGATGAAGTTCAGGCTGCAAGCTGTGTGCCTGCCCAGTTCCTGCCAGACCCCAGGCGGAGTCCCCGGCTCACGAGCCCCGGGAGCACGTCCGCCCCCTGGAAGGCATGGGTGGTTGGTGAGACGGTGGCTCCCGACTCTTCTCACGGTGGTTTCTACGTGGCTTCAGCCACACCTCATGGCCCTGTCGCGTCGTGCCCTGTGTGGCAGCTGAGGCCAGTCCCTGTTCTGTAGATGAGGAAGAGGAAGCCACGCAGACTGGGCTCGGTACCGCCAGCCCGTGCTCTTCCCACCTCCCCAGACTCTTGCTCCCTCCCCCTGCTCAGCGGTGCTGTCCGCTCAGACTGCACCTTTTCTCGAAGTCTGTTCCCACCAGTCCTGGCCTTTGCGCCTGCTCAGTGGATGGTAAATGAAACGGAAAATGGGGCGGGAGGATCTTATGGGAACAAGACCGTGGCTGGGAATCTGTATTTCAGAGCCCAGGAATGACAGTGCAGAGGATACTGCCTTGGTACTGGAACATGGCAAGGAAGGGCCCGGATGGGACAGTGTCAGGGGCTTTTTACCCATTGCTGGGCTTAAATTCTGGCTTCCAGCGTCCTGTCCTTCCTCCCCAATAGCAGCTGTGACCGTGCAGACATGCCCTCTCCGAGGCCTGCCCAGCTGCCTTCCAGACGCGTCTACTGGCTGGCCCAGCCTGGCCACCACGTCTAGTAGCAGCTCATCGTCCAGAGGCCTTCCTGGAGCCGGGGGACAGGGCAGTCCCCTCCCCATCAGTGAGTGTGACCCAGCAGGGGCAGGGCTCTGACCCTGGAGTCAGGGAGACTGGACTCTGTGCCCTCTGTTACCTCTAGGACTCAATTTCCCTTGTTGTTAAAGGGGGCAGGCTCCCCAGAGAACGGGACAAGGTTCCCTATCTGTAGACCAAAGAGCAGGTGTGATGCTCGGTCCCTGAGCAGCCTCTGTCCCAGCCCCGCCTGTGCTCTGTGTGCTCATGCGCAGTCAGCTGAGGGCAGTTTCTAACATGCAGGCCCATCGGCAAGGGGACACCTGTGCGCCCCTGATCGGAGTCTCAGACCTTCCCCCCGCTGAGAGCAGAGGAGGGTGAGGGTAGCCACTAGAATTCCTCTGGAGTCTCATTGTATTTTCAAAAATTCTTGCCAATTTTGCATTTGTCAGAATAGCTGTTTTTTAAAGTATTTTAAATGAAGAGGGACTAAAATTGACACCCTTGAAAAACAGACCCCATTTAGCCTGTGACTTTAGGTGTCATCTGGCAGATTCGCTCTGGGGGTCCATGTGCTCAGACTTGAGAAGCAGGAGGGCAAGATTGGGTCCTGCGTGTCAAGGCTGCCGGAGCGACTTACTGAGCCAAAGTCAGAGGCTGGAATTGGGGGGTTCCCGGTTATTCAGGGAAAGCCGTGTTCGTGCTTACAATGACACCAGAAGGAAAGAGAAACAGACTCCTAGGACAAGCACGCAGGAGCTGGCCCTGCCGCAAATCCAAGTTTCTAGTACTTGGCTGCCCCCCAGGGATTTGAGGTGCTGAGAGGTCTGTTCTGTGGGGACCAATCTGGGTCGGTTCCTCAGGACCAGGAGCCAGGGCTAGAAAGACCTTTCTGTCTCTCCTGTTACAGACACTACTGACAAACCAAGATCTACAGAGAAGGAAGGCCCCGAAGCCCCAGGTCGGGAGCCCAGCCCTCCCACCTGTAGCCCCAGCAGGAAGAAGGGTCACTGGAAACAGGAGAGAGGGCCCATGGGGACAGGTGAGAGGCTGGCTTTGCGGAGAGTGGGGTCTGCCCCGGAGCTGAGCGGGGAAGGGCAATGGAGGCACGTTTGGCTCACACATGCGTGTCAGGCGGCTTTCTCATCTCAGCCCCCTGACCACCCTACACAGCAGGTGTTGTCCCTGCTCACACAGACCTTCTGAAGGCCACCATCAGGGCTGCACTGACCTTGGCCGGTCTTGTAGGTGCCGTGGGAATCTCTCCTGGGAGCAGCCCCTTGCAAGGCCTTATCAACTGCCTGAAGGAGATCCTTGTGCCTGGGCCCCAGCACCCTGAGGTGTCCCCACGCTCACTGCCTCCTGTCCCCGGCCGGGACACCTCTCAGCTAACCAGAGCAGAGCTGGGGCCTGGGAGCCCGCCCTGGGGAGGTGAGTCCCCCGGGGACCTGTCTCCTCAGGTCAAGGTTTCTGAAGCCCCTGAATTGCCTTTCGGTAGCTCTTTCTGTGAATAGCAATGTCTTCCCAAAGGATCGTTCCCAACGTGGCTGCTCCAGTATCCTCAGTGTCCTCATTCTGGAGCCAGGCGGCTTTCTTGGGAGAACGGCACTTGGTCAGCTCGTAGGCGGAAACTCAAAAACAGACTCGGCCCTAGATCCGTGTGTGTTTTTTCACCCGTCTTAATACGGGACCCCTGAGGAGGAGCTGTGGCTGTCACTTCACGTTGACACTAAGTGTGTGTTTGGAGGGGCTTAGGGGATCGGGCGGCGTGGTGGGGGCGGGAGCGCCGGCCCGGCGTCTGACGCCTGGTGGCTGTGAAGACTGTGCCCGGCCCCTGAAGCCCTTGAACCTCGGCTTCCCCATCTGTAAAAGGGGATGACCGTCCCCCCCTTCGTGGGCTGTTGTGAGGCCCCGATACGGTGATGGACTGGTGTTTGCTTGTGAGAAGCTCGGTCCGGAGATGCCAGCTCGGCTCGGGGCCCAGGGAGCCACGTGCAGGTCGCAGCCTGTCAGCTCGCTTCCTGCCGCTGCTACCTGTGGTGA